TCAAAATGACCCTTTCTTTCCAATCTGCAGCGCTGTAATTCTCTGTAAAATACAATATGGCGACCTGGAGGCATTCTGTGCACAGATGGTGTACAGAACATCCCCCAGAAATGTAAATTCCTGCCTGTGTGATTGGCTCACTTATTTTCCCAGAAGTCTGCACTAAGACACAAGTCAGATTTTGGGTTCCCCTGCAATAAAAATGTTGTTTTTGGTGAGATGCTCCCAAAGGGAAATCCTGTCTAACGGGATGCAGACCCTGCCACTTTCCTCATTAGAACCCTGCAAGTGCAGCAGCTGACTGATAATTACGAAATCACTCCCATTCACAGTCACTTTGCACATGGATACAGAGAAACAAACTGCTTTCTCTTCAATATAACAAAAGGTAGGAATCTAAAAATAAAGTTTGGTAAAATCCCTGCAATGTACATCCAAAAGGGTAAGTTTTTTTTTCTAAACAAAAGTGTTACTCTTTATTGAAATATATCTTTATTGCATAAAGCTGTAAAGGTACTTTTGTACCTTTTCTCAATAAAATGAATCTGATTTATAAAATAAGTCCCGCAGGATGTTTCACCTTTTAAATTTCTACTTTGATTGGCTGATAATTCATGTACATTTATTTCCTCTTCTTTTTCTTGAATGATCATTTTTCCCACCATTTCTTTGCTGCAAACTATAAAGAGCCTGGATATGATAGATGATGAGGTGAGTCTTTTTTTTTTTTTTTTTATATCTTTTATGGCACTTACAGCATGTATCCCTGTGCTTTGCACTCCCCCATCTCTCTTGCTGGTGTTGGTCTTTGCAGTGTTTGGTGGAACGTGGTGTAAGCAGCCGTCCTCACATTGTAACCCAGTGCATGGAATTACTGCGATGTTTATACATACTAATACATCTCTGCTGTTGGCTTGTATGCAACTAATATTTATATGTTTTCTAGGATGGTTATTGGGGGAGATTTACTAAAACTGGAGAGTGCAAAATCTGGTGTAGCTTTGCATGGAAGCCAATCAGCTTCTAACTTCAGCTTGTTCAATTAAGCTTTGACAATAAAACCTGGAAGCTGATTGGCTGCTATGCAGAGCTGCACTAGATTTTGCGCTCCAATCTTAGTAACTCAACCACAGTGTGTTACCTATTAGGATTTCTTAAAAACATTTATTGTACTGATATGTAATTTATGAGTTCATAGTTTCCTCAGTTGATAATCTGTGTACTCTTCAGCACTACCTACTCCGTTCTAGCGACTCGCATTGACGTGGCAGGCATTGCTTTCTTTATTCCCCCCATCCTTTGTGATCTTCACTATTAATATATTCTTCACTCTTCTATCCAACATGAGCCTAAGTCCCTCTAAAGTCCACTAAACAGCACTGTTGTCCACTCTAATATTCAGCATACTGTTCCATCATCCATTCTAATGTGCAGCAAACTGCTCCATCTTCAGCTCTAATTTCCAGTATACTGTTTCCTTATCCAACCCAGTGTCCACTACACTGCTCCATCATCCAGCCCAATGTCCCCTATACTGCTCTGTCATCCACTCTAATGTTCAGCATACAGATCAATCAGCCACTTTAATGTCCAGCATCTTGCTCAATCATCTATTCTAATGTCCAGCATACTGTTCCATCATACACTCTAATGTTCTGTATATTGAAAGTCCAGCAGTACTACCCAAGAGTCAAGCATACTGCCCCATCACCCATACTAATATCCACCATACAGCTCCATCATCCATTCTAATCCCCAAATCCAATCACTGTCCAAATCTTGTAGACATCACCTCTGCAACATCTCATAGATACTCCCGTTCCTAACCTCGGAAACCACTAAGCAACTTATCCACTCCCTTGTTATCTCTCGCCTTGACTATTGTAACTCCCTCCTCATTGGCCGACCTCATCGCAGGCTATCCCCTCTCCAGTCTATCATGAATGCTGCTGCCAGACTCATTCACCTTACTAACCGTTCCATATCTGCCACCCCTCTCTGCCAATCCCTCCGCTGGCCCCCATTCAGTGTCCTCCATCGCTCTCTGCCAATCCCTCCACTGGCTTCCAATTGCCCAACAGATAAAATTCAAAACACCAACAATAACGTATAAAGCCATTTATAACTCTGCCCCAAATTACATCACCGATCTTGTCTCTAAATATCAACCAAACCGTGCTCTCCCGCTCCTCACAAGACCTCCTACTCTCTAGCTCCCTTATCTCCTCCTCCCCATGCTCGTCTCCAGGACTTCTCCAGAGCTTCCCTCATCCTATGGAACTCTCTACCCCAATTTATCAGACGGTCGCCTACTCTGCTCACTTTTAGGCAATCTCTGAAAACCTATCTCTTCAGGGAAGCCTATCCTGCCCTCAGCTAATACTGGAATCTTCTACTCTTCCAACCAGTCCATCCCCCACAGTTACCTTTTGTACCACTAGCCCCTCCCTCCTAGATTTTAAGCTCCAAGGAGCAGGGCCCTCCTTTCCCTCTTGTATTGAACTGTATTGTTGCTGTATTGTCTCCCTTTATATTGTAAAGCGCTGAGCAAACTGTTGGCGCGATATAAATCCTGTATAATAATATAGTAACCTCCGTACAGCTCCATCATCAGTCTTAAAGTTTAGCATACAGATTCCACTCTAATGTTTCAACATACTGCACCATTTTCCACCCTTATGTCCAGCATACAGCTGCATCATCTGTCCTAGTGCCCACTAAACAGCTCCATTGTCCACTCTTATGTTCAGAATACATGTCCATTATTCATCACTATACAGCTCCATCACCTACGTCTATACCGAGTATACAGCTCCATCATCTATCCTAGTGTCCGGTATATAGCTGAATTATCCAAACTAATGTCCAGTATACTGCTCCATAATCCAATATAATGCTCAACATACTGATCCATAATCCAGTCTAATGCCCAGCATGCAGCTCCATTATCTACTTTAATGTCTGCAATACTACACCATTATCCACTCATATCCAGCATACAGCTACATCATCTTTGTAATGTCCACTGTAGAGCTCCATTATCCACCACAATGGGCAGCATACTGCTTCATGTTCTATGCTTATGTCCAGGATACTACTTCATCACCCATGCTATTGAGCAATGTACTGCACCGCACCATCCTCCACTCTAATGTCTGGCATAAAGCTCCATCATCCACTCTAATGTCTGGCATAAAGCTCCATCCTCCACTCTAATGTCTGGCATAAAGCTCCATCATCCACTGTAATGTCTGGCATAAAGCTCCATCATCCACTCTAATGTCTGGCATAAAGCTCCATCATCCACTCTAATGTCTGGCATAAAGCTCCATCCTCCACTCTAATGTCTGGCATAAAGCTCCATCCTCCACTCTAATGTCTGGCATAAAGCTCCATCCTCCACTCTAATGTCTGGCATAAAGCTTTGTCATCCATTCTCATCAATTCTAATTGAAACTTCACACTGGACTTCAAGAATCTTGCAGTGTGTGCCTCTCCATTCTTCCTCCATACTCAGGGTCCTTGGGCCTCTCCATTCTTCCTCCATACTCGGGGTCCTTGGTTTCCAAATGAGATGCAAAAGTTGCTCTCATCAGAAAAGAGGACTTTGAACCACTGAGCAACAGACCAGGTCTGTTTTTCTTTAGCCCAGGTAAGACGCTTGTGACGTTGTTTGTTGTTCAGGAGTTGCTTGACAAGAGGAATACGACAGTTGAAGCCCATGTCCAGGATCCGTCTGTGTGTGGTGGCTCTTGATGCACTGACTCCAGCCTCAGTCCACTCCTTGTGAAAGTCCCCAACACTTTTGAATGGCCTTTTCCTGACAATCCTCTCCAGGCTGCGGTCATCCCTGCTGCTTGTGCACCTTTTTCTTCCACACTTTTCCCTTCCACATAACTTTCTATTAATGTGCTTTGATACAGCACTTTGGGAACATCCAACTTCTATTGCAATTACCTTTTGAGGCTTTCCCTCCTTATGGAGGGTGTCAATGTTGGTTTTCTGCACAACTGTCAGGTCAGCAGTTTTTCCCCATGATTGTGATTCCTACTGAACCAGACTGAGAGACCATTTAAAGGCTCAGGGACCCTTTGCAGGTGTTATGGCTTAATTAGCTGATTAGAGTGGGACACTTTGAGCCGAGAATATTGCACCTTTTCACAATATTCTCATTTACTGAGATTGTGGATTTGGGGTTTTCATGAGCTGTAAGCCATAATCATCACAATGATGACAAATCACGGCTTGAACTATCTTGCTTTGCATGTAATGAGTCTATCTCATATATTAGTTTCACCTTTAAGTTGCATTACTGAAATAAATTAACTTTTGCACGATATTCTAATTTTTCGAGTTTCACCCGTAGAGCTCCATAATCCACTTTAATGTGCAGCATACTCCTCTACTGTTTATGTCCAGCATACAGATCCATTGTCCACACTAACGTTCAGCATACAGCTCCATCATTCATTTAAAGTCCAGCATACTACACTATTATTTGTCCTTATGTCCAGCATACAGCTGCATCATCCATCTCAGCAGCCAGTATACAGCTCTATCATGCAATCTAAGGTCCTGCATACAACTCCATTAGTGAAACTAATATCCAGCATACTGCACCATAATCCAGTATAATGCTCAGCATACTGATCCATCAGCCAATATAATAATATAATAATAATATCCAGCATACTGTGCCATCATCTACATTAATGTTCAACACACAGCTTCATCATCTTCACTAGTGTCCAGCATTCTGCTCCATCATCCATTTGATTGTCCAACATACTGACATCAAGTCTTATGTCCATTATAACCCTCAGTCATCCATTCTAATGTTCATTCTTAATGTTTGCGGTAATTTAACATATTGTATGTATTTTTCTTCTCTTGTCAGGCTCATCTCTTGTGTTATATCTTGTAGAGCATTATTAATTAAGTCTATCAAAACTTTCCAGGATACCGAAAAATCCCAAAGCTGATTGCCTATACTTCCTTACAGATCCTTGATGACGGCCAGTCTCCCAGACACAGTCCCCGTAGTCCTATTGAGTGGAGCACACAGCAAGTGACTAACTGGCTAATGAGTATTAACCTGGAACACTGTGTAACTGAATTCACAGAGCATAATATCAATGGTGAACAACTTCTCCAACTGGACAGCAGCAAGCTCAAGGTAAACATTTTTAGGGATTTTAAGGAATTTCCAGATTTTAAAACTTCCATTGTTATGAGCAGGATGGACAGCCTGACAGCCCAATGGCAAATGATGGACTCTCTGACCATCTATTAATGACTTATGATTGAGAATTGTTATATTCCTTTATTATGATATGACGGGGAAACCCAAAACTCATGGGTTTCAGTAACATTTTGACTGCTGAAGCCAGATTGAAAAGTAGATGTTTATTATACATCACATCCAACAACGCCACCATCAAACCCGCCCCGCAGGCCAGAGTACTTGGTGTCATTCTGGACTCCAACCTATCCTTCCAGCCCCAAGTCCAATCTTTAACTAACTCATGCAGACACCACCTCCACAACATCGCCAAAATCCGCACGTTCCTAACCCCAGAAACCACTAAACAGCTACATCCACTCCCTCATCATATCACGACTGGACCACTGCAACTCCCTCCTCACTGGCCTGCCTCGCCGCTGGCTATCCCCGCTTCAGTTGATCCTGAATACAGCTGCCAGACTCATTCACCTTTACAACCGCTCCATTTCCGCCACCCCCCTCTGCCAATCCCTCCACTGGCTTCCGATTGCGCAACGGATCAAATTCAATATCCTAACACTGACGTACAAAGCTGTCCACCATACTGCCCCGAACTACATCACTGACCTAATATCCAAGTACCACCCAGCACGCACACTCCGCTCCTCACAAGACCTCCTTCTCTCTAGTTCCCTGGTCTCCTCCTCCCATGCCCGCCTCCAGGACTTCTCCAGGGTGTCACCCATCCTCTGGAACTCCCTGCCCCAACCCATCAGATTATCACCTACTCTCCTCTCCTTTAGGCGCACCCTGAAAACCCACCTCTTTAGGGAAGCCTACCCCACCCCCTGCTAACTTGCCGACCTCCTCCACTCTTCCTACCACTCCATCCCCCACAGCTATCTCCTCCTGTGCCACCATCCCCTCCCTCCTAGATTGTAAGCTCGAAAGAGCAGGGCCCTCAATCCCCTCATGTTTTGCATTGTATTGGTATTGTTCTGTCACATGTTCTGTCCTCCTTTGTAATGTACAGCGCTGAGTGAACTATTGGCACTTTATAAATACTGCATAATAATAATAATAATAATAATATACAAGCATGTAGCTAGATCTCCATGCAGGGAGAGCAGAACAATACATAGTGTTGGATACAAAGTAATGCTTTAGGAAGGGATAATTGTTTTGACAATATGATGTCCAAGAGGAGGGAATGTAAGGGAAAATGGAGCAGCCATTTTAGGAATAAATAAAATACATTGTTAATATGAAATACATTGGTAATGAAGCAGATGGCCTAACATCTGGTATTTCTTCTTTCTGTGTGAGAAAACCAGTTCCACACCTGTTGCCCTCTTCTTCATTTGCAAGATTGTTGTCACAGCCTTTGAAGACCTGAAGGACACTGGAAGTGACAGTAACATGTGGACAAATAATCCCATCTCAGTGAGTTTTTCCGGGGACACAGATCAGATAGCTGGGTGCCACCCACTGTAGAGCATATAAATTGTATTAGAAGGCCCTAGTTAGATAGAGCATTACTTTGTATCCAACACTATGTATTGTTCTGCTCTCCCTGCATGGAGGTCTAGCTACATGCTTGTATAATAAACATCTACTTTTTAATCTGGCTTCAGCAGTCAAAATGTTACTGAAACCCATGAGTTTTGGGTTTCCCCGTCATGATACACCATCTTCTCCCCCTTTCTTTCTCTCTAGGCCCTTGGAGTAAATTCTCAAGACAGAATGCTCATTAGAAAAAAGATCAGAGACATGAGACTGACAGTTGAGAAGCTCCGGAAAGTCAATGAGAAAATGGAGAAACAAAAGGAGAGACTCCGCAAGCGGGAGCATGAGCAGCAAGTGCGGCGAGCAAGGCGGGAAGACGACACACCCACAGACGGCGCACGGAGCACGCCAGAACCATAATCGCTGTATTCTATGTGAATAGGATTATTCTATGACAATGAGTTCATTGTACACTGTATGCAAGCCCCCCGGCACTGCACAGATGGATTACCAAGTTGGTACAAGTAAAGAGGGACTTCTCCATTTCGGGTAAAGAGGGCAAGAACTGATTCTCCAGAGGGTTTTTACTGCTATTTCTAACCTGATTCGGAGACCTTCTTTCCCCTTTAGCATGGCTCTGGTACAGCGTTTCAGCTAATATGCTAATATCACCTGTATTTTCATCCAGCAAATTATGTATATGTCTTCCTCCTTGTAGTGCATTCTGCATAACAATTTATGGAGCTCAATAGCTCAAGTGAAATGCAGATTTTGGCACAGGGGAGGACTGGGAACATTTGGCTTGGGGGGAGGGGGGGCTTGGGGGAACACAACCAATTTCATGAAATTCTGTAGACTAAAGAAAGTGTATGGAACAAAGTGTTCCACAGAGCTGCATTGTGGGCATGGTGAAAGGTGTTTCTCTAGAACAGCCTTGCTTTTCCTTTTATGAAGGTTGAAGGAATATTTTTCAAGTCTAGGGATCCTCTTCTAAAACTAATTTATTGGATTGAGTAGGAAAGATGCCTTTTGCATAGTGGGTCAGTGGGAATATTGCCCCCCCTTACAGAGGTCCTCAAAATGCCACCTCTATAGACAGATAAAAGATTGTTGGTGTCATGCTTCTGGCTCTTTCAAGTGGAATTGGCCTCAGAGCTATGCAGGCACCAATGAATGAGAGGTCAAGCAGCTCAAGGAACACCTAGCAACCTCTGGACAAATCCTGGGGTTCCACAGAACCCTTGAGAATGACTGCTCTAGAACAGTTTACTCCAGAACAGTATACTCAAAGAGGAATTTAGGCTTGCAAGTGTAGTCAGATGAAGGAAACCTTCAAACTAGCTCAACAGCTCTGGTGAGGCAGCTCCCACACAGCAATGCTTTCGTCGATGGGCATGCAACAGTAGCTCAAACTATAAAAATATAGAAAGGAGTGTCAGACCCAAACCAGATAGGAGTCCAAGATCTTTCTATTTGTTGGTAAAAAAAGACATAAAAATACCGTATACATTTCACCACTCCCCTTTCATCACTACTGCTTAGCCACTGCTATCAAATTGTAGCTCCATGTGGAAAGTTCAGTACTGGTTTTTTTATAGATCTGTGAAGTCACAATTTTCTCTGAGTCCATCTAAGTTTTATCCTTTGTTGAGCCCTAATGAAGGGGGGGGGGGGGGTGGTGTTTTCCCTTAAACGCATTGGCTGTATTTAATAGCCTTTTTTACTAATAATTAACGATTATTAACAATTATCTTGGACTATTTTATCCAGTTCTGGTCTGGCACTCCTTCCTCCAGAGTATTTCTGTGGTTTATTGTGACACGTCTTTCAGCATGCTTCGTATGCAGGTTTCGGTGTTGGGTCACAAGACATCTCAGAGCCACAAAAGTAGTTGATGCTGGAAGAATTCACACTGCCGCAATCTGTGTTTGCAGGTCTGAACTGGAAGCAAGTAGCTATATAATGGCCGACGTGTCACTGACTGCGGGTCCTGTTCTAATCGAGGTCTGATTTATTGGGTATCCCCACTCAGAGCCACCAAACCAACATATCTTTTTAGCCCTGTCTTACAAGGCAAATTCTCCCTAGTCATCTATCCCTTCTGCAATATGTCATAGCCATGCCTGGGTTTGGGGAGATCTCCATGCCCATCCCAGTCCCGGACCAAGCCAACCATTTCTTTTTGTGCTTCAATTGTAGAGTTCTTCAACGTTATCAGTTGTTTTGCAAAACCCAACATATCTTTTTAGCCCTGTCCTACAGGACAAATTCTCCCTAGTCACCCATCCCAGTTCTCCCTTCTGCAATATCTCATAGCCATGCCTGGGTTTGGGGAGATCTCCATGCCCATCCCAGTCCCTGACCAAGCCAACCATTTCTTTTTGTGCTTCAATTGTAGAGTTCTTCAACCTTATCAGTTGTTTTTCAAAACCCAACATATCTTTTTAGCCCTGTCCTACAGGGCAAATTCTCCCTAGTCACCCATCCCAGTTCTCCCTTCTGCAATATCTCATAGCCATGCCTGGGTTTGGGGAGATCTCCATGCCTATTCCAGTCCCTGACCAAGCCAACCATTGCTTTTTATGCTTCAGTCGTAGAGTTCTTCAACCTTATCAGTTGTTTTGCAAAAAATTATCATCTCTGAAAGTACACCTGTCATTCGTTTACTGTGCTGTCAATCTTCTTATGGGTTGTTCCATCATCTGAAAAATACAACCTTAGTCCCCAGGAACTAGTGATGTCTGTGTAGCACAAAAAAGTCATATCAATCAAGAACGATGGCCATGGTTTTGTTTTTGGACAGCACACTGCTGGATCACTTATAGAAAATGGATAATATCTAGTAGTGCAGTACTACAGCTGTGTTACCAAATAACGGTAGCACAGACCCCAAGCCATTCTTACTGTTTTGTCCCAGGTTCTATTCCCTGTTAGATGCATGGCAGCTAGTAGGTCTGCAGTCTATGCAATAAAAAGACAAAAAGTGTCTTTTTAGGATTTATTGCTTGAAGAACTTGGATAGAGTATAGGGTGAGACTGGGGATACCACAGAACCAGTGCAACTTTAGCTGAGGACACTCTCTAGTAGTAGTTAACTCCCTCAAGGTAGGCCTCTAATATAAAAGGATGTGGACCTTCAGCTCAGGGGAATCTCACACTGGATATAGCCCTGAGCCAGTAGATCTGGAACAGTCTCCCAAAAAGGGGTCATACAGCAGCAGTCTCCCCAGGATCTCTCTCAGACCTCTACTCACTGTGTCCCTGTGTAAATGGATGCCTCCTTCCAGTATCATCCTGTACCATCAGCCTCCCAGCCAGATCATCAGCAGACTTTCTGTAGACCTGTTCTTTCAGCCTTGACAGTCGGCCCCCCAGCTCTACCTGAGCTGGGACTGTGATGAACCTCCTGCAGACTCCAACTAGATGGCCCAGGAAGGCAGGCAGTCCCTCCAGGCTGTGTCTTTCTCCATTGTTCTTCTAAACCCCAGGCTATTCATGTACACATCAGAACCCTCCCGCTGGTCACTCTCTTGGCCAGGAATTAGCTGAGGCTACATGAATATTCAGGACAAGGTCCACCTTTACCAACTCACTATATTCCAGAACCTACTAGAATACGTGGGGGAAGTAGTGGAGCCTGAAGTCAGCAGGATCCAGAACAGGATCTCCCCTGGCTACAGAGGAGCCAAAAACTCAATTTACTCAATCCTAATAGCAACCTAACTAGGGTGCAATATAGCTGTGCAGGTAAATGGTCTTGTAGCCAGTCTGCTCCACAGTATTTTACAGGAGTTAGGCAATGAAATGGAAACACTACATGATCTGCAGGTGTGAAAGTGATGACATGTTTCGCGTTGAAAGTGGAAGTGATGCTTTTTGCTTCCGCTGTGTGATGAGACACCTAACTAACAGGTGGGAAGCATTACTTTTGTCATTCGCTGTGTGCGCTGCCAGTAATCTGGAGTCATGTCGGAGCTTACTGAGCTTCAAAGAGGGCAAATTGCTTAGTTGGTTCCTTTGTGACTGAAGTTGCCAATTCATTTGCCGTGTCGCGAGGTGCAGTATCAAAGGTTATGTTGGCATATACAGCTTCCGGGAAGACATCATCTTAGATGCATGATCATGGTTGACATGGCCTACTGACCGAAAGAGACAAAATGACATTGCGCAGGATTGATGCCTGCAATAAGAAAACAAGTGCTGCAAAAGTGAGTGCAGGGCTCAATCTCAGTCTTCATGGCACTCAATCTTCATGGGACTCAATCTTTACGGCAGCGTTTTTCAACCTCCCTTGAAAGGTATTTTCAGTCCTGAGGCACCCCGTTGTAAGGCTTGGTTCACATCACTGCGAATCGTGGAATGTGTGCAAAATCATGCACATTCCTGACACGCAGACAAATGCATTGCTGTTTAGAAGACATGAAAGGGCCTCATTAATTCTTAATATCACCCCATGCATTGGCAAACGTGGTGAGTTTTCAACATGCTTTAAAAAGAAAGGGTCAGGGGATTCTTTCCCTGTGTTTCTGCAGAGCAGCCCATTGAAATGAATGGGCTGCCGTACATGCAGGGCTTGTTAACATGTGAGGTTGGAGAGTGGTAAAACCACATTCTTCAGCTTCTTTTTTTACCATCCCCAGATGCTCCTCCTTTGTAGAGGCAGCAGTTGAGAGTGTACATGTGCTGTGGCTGCGATTGGAAGTATACCCTCGCCCCGCAACTGTGTTAACATGGTTAAGCATAGTGATGCTGCATTTCGGGGTTGACGTGTATTGGGAGATAAACCCCCTTCCTCAGTAGCTCTGATGAAGGGGGTTTATCTCCCGATACGCGTCAGCTCATCTATATAGCTCATCCATATTAAGGGCACAGCATTGCATCCGCTGTTATTGCGGACCACTCCTTCTGCTTTTATTTTCGTTGATTTGTAAGTATATATTCATTTGTTTATTCAATAAATACGTGGGCACTGTAATGCACGATGAGAGTGCGCCCTTGTCTGTTTTTGTTCGCTTGCTGGAATTATATACAAGCCCTAAAAAATCAATTTGGATCCTACAGGAACAGGATCAGGATTAAAAATATTGTACCTACATGCGTATATAAACATGCATGTACACACATAAATACACATATATATATAACATAAACATACAGTACATACATACACACATATAAAATACAAACATACAGTATATACACACACAGTACATACACACATATAAATACAAACATACAGTATATACACACACAGTACATACACACATATAAACACAAACATACAATACATACACAGTGCATACATACAGTACACACATATAAACACAAACATACAGTACATACACATACAGTACATACATACAGTACATACA